AGGGTAGTAGGGGCGGGGTGTGGAGGACACCACCACCGGCCTGGGCGTGGAGCTGACCACCGAGACGGCGGGCGTGGAGGGGTAGTACGGGCGGGGCGTGGAGCTGACCACGGCGGGCGTGGAGGTCGGGTAGTATGGGCGGGGCGTGGAGCTCACCAAAGAGACGGCGGGCGTGGAGGACGGGTAGTACGGACGGGGCGTGGAGCTGTAGGGCGGGAGGTAGGAGGTGGCGGGGGGCAGGTACGCGGCCGGCGTGGACACGCGCACGCCGTAGGGCGAGGGCGGCGTCACGTACACCGTCTCGGGGGGCGCGACGCTCTGGCCGGGCTGGTACACCACGTCGTAGGGGCTGGGCGTCGGGTTGGGGATGATGGCGTTGGCCACGCCGACGCCGCCCTGGCTGGGCGCGTACTTGGCCGAGGCCACGGCGCGTCCGATGGGCTCGTCGCCCACCCACATCTTCTTGGTGCGCACGATGCGGTAGCCCTGGTTGTCGGCGACGTAGTCGCGCAGGCGCAGGTAGCCGTCCGCGTCCACCCAGCCGTAGGTCCCCACGACCGTGCCGTCCTGCAACACACAAAGAGTCGATGGGTGGCCTACTCTCCAGGCGCGACCGGCGCGGCCGGCTCCCACCACTGCAGCCCGACTGACGTGAGGCCCGACTCGGCCTGACTCCACTTTGCATCGCGCCAAGCTCGCACCTTATCTCAGATGATTTAGTCGGTCTTGCTAAAGTAACACGATAATTTACACGTTTCTTGCAGAAGCCATGACATTGTACCACTGTATGTTACGCACAATAATATAAAAGATGATTTGTTTTTAAATGTGACTGAGAGAAGTGACTTGTTGGCACAGTGATAGGCCACCTCACCTCAAGGCGCTTCTCTTTGCGGTACTGGCCGCTGTCCGTCTGGTAGCGGAAGTATCGCTCCGGGCCCTCGTCCGTCTGGATGTGGTACTGCGAGGTCTGGGCCAGGTTGTAGCCGCCCAGAGCACCGCCGAACCGCGCCCGCGCCACCGCGCACAGGGAAGCCTGCAGACAGAAACACACACAGAGATTAGAGAGATATTACGGCAAGTCGTCTACATCACAAAACAGCGAGCTTTGATACACATTGTTCAAAGCTTTCGGCGAACCCTGCAGGACTGTAAGTTACTTGAATGTTACTGCAAGCTACGGTGAACCAAAGGTTGCACATCACCGCCACTTTCAGTTTTGTCTTTTATTCGTTCGTGGTGCGCTCTCTGTATGGCGCGCCGCCATATTCCACCTTTTCCAGCAGTGTTTGCATTGGGCTTGCACCGCGGTGACGTCGCACTGGAAGTCGTGGGCAGCGAGGCTACGGGGCGCAGAGCGGCGCGCACAACGGAACGCGCATGTAGTTTATAGGGCCCCGCCATGGCCACGCCCAGCAGCCCCAGCGCAAGTGTGGCACACGGAGTGGCACACGGAATGGCACACGGAATGGCACACTGTGTGGCAGTGGCACGCTGTGTGGCACGCTACAAAACAGCGTGGCACACTCAGAACATATCGGCTGCTCATGACTCATTGGCGTTGCATAGCCGGCACCATCGGGGATATGGGAGGGAGGGGGGCACCCCTCGTCAGAAGCAGTGTAGGCAGTGAGGGAAGAGAGAAGAAGTAAACAAAAACAACACAATTAAACTCCTACTGAGTGTGAGTGTGAGTGTGTGTGTATGTGTTTTGTCTTTAACGTAACTGTTGGTCTGAAATGAAGACAGGATGGCTGCAACAACGCGCAAGAAAGCAAGAACTATACGTACTGACCAGTCCGGCTCCGGTCGGCCGCCATCCGGCTTGCATCGCGACAGACACTTTGGCGCCGGAAGCGACTAGACCCCCTCCCCTCCATGTCTTTGCCTTCTCTCTCTCTCTCTCTCTCTCTCTCTCTCTCTCTCTCTCTCGCTCTTGCTCTACCTTAAGATAGTACCCGTTTGTACGTGCAGCGCACACACACCCACGTCTTGCATAACCGGGCGAGCGGCCAGCGGGGCTGGGCAGCGGCGGACACCAAACGGAGCACGATCTGCTGAGGAGAGAGAGAGAGACACAGAGCGAGTGAGAGAGCGAGCGAGCGAGAGAGAGAGAGAGAGAGAGAGAGAGAGAGAGAGAGAGAGAGAGAGAGAGAGAGAGAAGGGGTGGGAGGGAGGAACTCGTACTAGGAGCAGTACCGCGACAATGCGAATGGAGGCAAGTAGGTAGGTACCATTTGTTCTAAATTACCCACGATGCCTTTTTCAGTCGATCTCTGTACGGGCTGAGGCTATCGCCGGTGTCGTCACGCGCGGTTCCCACTCACGCGCGCTGGCGCCGTCCTACAGGCTATTGCCTTGCATTTGAATAGATAGGATAGGGTAGACGGAGAGGTCACCTACCGGCTGGGGCTGGGCTAGAGCACCACTATGTGCTGCTAGACCAGCGGAAGTTCATCACAACGAGCGTTTTTCTCGGTTTTGCTGGAAGCGAACAAAGTTTGTATGATCCATTCGACAATTGACGGGGTCTCGGCGCCTGCGAGCTCCAGGGTAGGCCGCCCCGCAGTACACACGTGCACTGTAGGCAAGATGTTGCCTACCCATCAGGCGCTATAAACGTTTTCATAGGCTGAACTGGCTGAACTTTGCAGTTTCGTGACGACTGATGACCCTTTTTCTGGGGATTACATGTTCACCATCGTTTATTTAGGGTATTGAAATCTAAGGTTGTGGTCACATAGTGGCCACGACGCTGCGAATCGCCAGATTCAGGACTCTGTCGCGTTCTCTGGACTTCTGGACTCTGGTCCTGGAGTGGGGCGCTTTCCCTGTCACCACTATGCGTGCCGCCGCGTGCCGCACTGCAGGGCCTGCAGTGGTAGAAGGGGGGGGGGGCAGAAGGGGGCGTGCGGTAACCGCCTCTGTCGCCATCAACAACAACATTCACGTTCGTTGTGGTACGACGCGATTTGTTATAACAAGCGCAGCGGCGGGCGCAGCTGGCGACTGTCCTCTTTTTTCCCTTCTATCCTTCTTCATTCTCCACCCTCTTCGTTTTGAAACAGGATGGGTACTCGTTTATCAGTTAACGCCTCGAGCCGACAGAAATAATTCGACGAGAGGGTGTTTGTACGCCCCTTATGCCTCGTATGAACCCTCTGCAAAAAAATGTGCTTCTAGCAGTGTGAGCCAGCCACGTGACCCACAATCGTGCACAACGCTCCGCTAAACGAAACAAATAGTGCAGTAACGATGCAAAAGCAAGGCCGGGGTGTCACCGGCCGCCGCGCAGCCCCAAGGCACAGCTAATCAGCAGCCAATCGGGCACTAGCCGACAGCTGTACGACGACAGCTAGAGCAGTTCGACAGCCCGCTGGGCAGCACCATCAGGACCTGCGCCGCCACCAGCGGGGCGCGGCGGGCGCGACCTTCACCCTCCGCGCTCGCGGAGACTTCGAGGGGGGACAGAGATCAGCGCGGCGCCGGGGCAGGGCTATTAGAGAACGAGACCGGTCGTGCGGAGCCTTTCTCACGTCCCGGCGCGTTCGTACGTGTGGTCGCGGAGCCCGGCGGAGGATAGCCATGCGATAGACGCGCGCCGAGCGCGAGGCGAGGGTCAGCGACCAAAATCGGGGCGAATTAAAGAGCCACCCGGGCCGCGGCGTCGACGGCAGAGCTGTCATCAAATCTGATTAAAACACGGCGCAGCCAGGCTGACCACGGCGCCGCGCGCCTGACGTGCGCGCTCAACGCTCAACAGCACCGGCACCCCACCACGCCTCGCCACGCCTCGCCACGCCCCGCCCGACGCTGTCACGGTCAAGGCTGCGGCCTGGGCCTAGCCGGCCCGGCCACTGCTAGCGCATACCCGGCCGGACCCGCGGACCGGCCGCGAACCCGAACCCGCAGATCTGGTGGCGCTGGTGGGCGCCCCCTCTCCCGAGCGGCTTACTCACACGACGGGACGGCGCCCCCGCGCGAGCCGCCCCCGCAGCCCGGGGAACACGTCGCCGACCTCGGCGCCCAAACATCGCTAATGAACGGAGTCTCATTGCGCAATCCGAGGGAGACGGGCGGATGCAGGAGTAATTGAAGGAAGGGAAGGATGAGGATGAACCCACGCAGTAAATGCAAAACAAAAACGAACTCGGACCGCTTTAACATTGTTCCGCAAAACTGTCTTCAACAACATGACTCAATGAACGCAGCCAGGTACATCAAGGAAACGAACCGGTAACGTCACGGAAGCTGACAGTGAAAGCAAAGAAGCGCGTCTCGCTGTGAACGAGAATGCAGTTCCCCCGGGGGAAGCGCGACGTGACCTGGAGGTTGCCGTGCTCGCACGCGTACGTGAGTGCGTGAGGGCGTTCTCTAACTGGGCGGGGCGAGGCGAGGTGGGGCGAGGTAGGCACGCCCGCTTACCACGCCGCCCGGGCGGGTTGCCTACCCCGGTGTGCTCAGGCGGCTGTCGGGCAGCGGGTGGGTGGAAGACATCAACACAACACTTGATGTTCCTGTCATAACTCAAACATGTATCTGAGCGTACTTACTCGCACACGAAATCAGATAAGATACCTTTTGTCAGATAAATATATTCACTCTTCCGGAGGACTATGACTAATAAAAGTATAAAAGTATGAAGGGTCACCGGCGAGAACCGATTGCGACACTAGTACATCCCCAGCTATAAAAGTAGTAGAGATGCTAGAGACAGACAAGAGAGCGCGCCGCCCCATCCTCTCCCCCTACCGCCTGCAGCCGCGCCTTGTTTCGACTTGCAGTCTGCAGTGAATGCGGCTGCGTCCGCGCGGGCATCCTGTGCCTCGTCCTGCGCGCGCCATTCAGAACCGCGAGCTCGGAGAGGAGAGGAGGGAGGGGGCGTCGCGGTCACGACCACCTCCTTAAAAAGCTCGTCTCTTATCTGCCCGGCGGCGGCGGCGTCCTCGGCGCTTGGTAAGTCATAGGTCATCCGTTAGTTTTGGAGTTATGTCAGGTTATGTCATGAGGCAGACGGTCTACATTGCAGAGATAGATGTGTGTGTGTGTGGGTTCAGAAGGAAGGCGGTTCGTCATTTGTTTATAGCCGCTCCGTCTGTCGGGCCGGGGGGCGGACACATGCGTGACGGGTCTGAGTGGGTCATCCGAAACGCGACCGATAGAGTCATTGAGTCTCCTAATATAGGAGGATGAGGAACGTTTTCGTAAGGCGATGAAAGCAAGTAGTTACACACATTCCGCAATAAGACAATCAGGTCGCATTGTTTACATTTTTTCCTACCTAGACGATGGTTAAAAAGAGGTATAAAATAAATGCAAGAAGGTAGTGGTGGGGAACTAACGCGACACCGTTCCAAGAACGGCCTCTTGCGCTCCGGGCGCGCGCGCGGGTGGGCCGTCACGGGCCGTCCCACCGTCCCGTCCCACGACAAGCAGAGCGATGAGCAGGACGGCGGAAATGGCCAGTCTGTGAGTCGCACCAGCAGCACCAGCAGCCGGACGAGGGGGGGAACGGTGGTCGGGCACACTTTCGATGCACCGGGCGTCGCCAACAGACGAAGGCAAGCACCGGAGCACCGGAGCAATTTGGAAAGCAAAACGCGAAACAAATAAAGACATGTGTGTGTGCCTTGTACCTGTAACTGAACTGGCTCGCGGTCTCCGCCGCCGCCGCCGTGTTATGACAGCTGCACGGCGAGCCAATTAGCAGCGCAAACAGATTACTGCAATGAGATCGAGAGGTGTGGTTCAAACTATCG